TATATATATATATATGTTACATTTTATTTATTTTTGCATATGATTTGGATGATTAAAGTCAGCACAGTTTCATCTAATTCCCTAAGCTACAGGTAAATTCTCTTACAAAGTCAAAATTCCCCCGCAAAATAAATAGCCTATTTACCTTTAGTTAATCAACCCAATAGTGTTCATAGTCATTTGTGTGGGGACAGTTTGTAGCAGTAAGTAAGGACAGAGAAAAAAATATACACTTTTTTACAGACACCCAAAGGATCTGCTATTTTCACACTGCAGTGTTAGCAACTTATTTTGGTGGACACACAAGCACAATGCAAAGCTGACTGATTTGCTGGCCAAATAGGGGGCAGGTTTAGATGCAAGTGCATGGACAGTCAACGTCAAAATACACCTCTGACTGTGATAATGCTACAGAGAGATAAACATTTGCCCTTGCCACAAGTACTTGTAGCAGTTCTCAGGGAATCTGTGAAGGTTCTCATTTCTCCGGGTCATGATATAGATGGTAGTAGATAGTCAGTTATTTTATATTATTAAAGACGTTTTGCTGCTTATCAAGGTAACTTCTTCAGTTCAGGAACCTACCTCCGCTTTTATAGCCACAAGGCTAACTTGGTCACCTTGTTCCAGTCACCATAGAATGTCTCAATGCAGAAGTTGATTGTCCGAGAACATGATGGAGGTGTGAAAGCTTCTGCATCCATCCTGTTCTAATTACATAGTGCAATCTCATCATACCTCTTATGCCACCCACTCTCATTCACACCCAATTTAGTCACACCAAGTTCTTTGACAGTTACCATCTGCCCTGACACATTCCATGTATTTTTTTACCCGTAGAACCCTTCCTTGTTAACCTTATTATATCTGTTGCGCGTCATGGGATTGTATGGTGCTATATACATAAATAAATAATAATAATAATAATTTTGTTTCGTATCTTCACAGAGATCCTGAATGGTGGAGTAATCATGGAGAATAACACACAGCTGTGCTTTCATACAACCATCCTATGGAATGATATCCTGAGCCATAGCAATTCCTTGAAAAGTGTCATGGTTCTACATCCTGACATCCGAAAATGTGAGAAAGCTGGGTCTAGAATAGGGTTGAGCTTAATGAGAGAGCATGTACTGAACATATGCAGGCTTATTAGGGCTAAAAGCAAAGTAAAATGTGTTACCCATGACAGCCAACCAGAATTCATGTTTAAAGAGACTGTCAGTGGGAAGGAGGCATTACGTTTAGGCACCTAGAGGCAGGTTCATTCACAGCAGTTTGCCCCCTCCCTCCTCCCAGTTATAGAGTTTATTTAACAAATATGTCTGCAGTAAACTGAAATCTTGTTGGGTACAGTGGATGAGATAAATTGATCTGGTTTTGTAGGCGATATCTTTTTATTTTTTTACACTCGTGTCGGAGGATTAGAACCTCAAAAAGCCAGTGAACAAAAACTGTACCTTTTTTTAATTTTTTTAATTTAATGTTAAAATTATATTAGCGGGTAAAAAAAACAACAACTTGTTGCCGCGCTGTCCTTAAATGGTGTACTAATAATATGTGATCAGTGAAAATTCTAATGTGACAATGTGTCCACTTTAAAATTAAACAAAACATGTATGTGTCAATAAACACCAAAGTTTATGTTTTTCAAACTATGTACTCTATGAAATGCACTTAAACAATTGATTCAAATAAACAGTGAGAAATCAATAAACAATAGGTTTTCCAATCACAATGTGAATTAAAAAACAATGTCCATAAAAGTTCATATGAGTGAAACCATCCAAATGATTTGAAAATTCATACACATGTGATTTAGTCTTTGCTCCTCCACCGTCTTATTACCACCACGTGGACACTCAGGGGGTTATTCACTAAAGAGCCGAAGGATTAAGCCCAACCTTTGGCGAATCCTTTGGCTGCAGGAGTTCGTTCATTTTGCCGCGGGAGTTCATAGAATGCGGTCGGGTTGGCGTGCGTCGGGATTTTTTTTATTTCAACGAGTGGTGGCGTGGACATCGCTGGATGACGTGATTAAGCTTTGCACTTTGCGTTTTTTTTCTTTTTTTTTTTAATTAAAGTAATTGTCAAAGACTTTTGGTGTGTGTGTGTTTTTTTTTTCCCCTCAATTAAAGGATTTTTTCTAAAAGTCTCTTTATTTACATTTTTGTACCATTACTCATTTACAAGGGGGGGCAGCATCTGGGTGCCCCCTTTCCTGCCCTGCCTGGCCTGTGCCCGGATTAGGTGCCGGTTGGGAATTTTAGGGGGGACCCCACTTTTGTTTAACCATTTTTTGGCAGTGGGGTTCCACCTTAAAATTGCTAAATTTCTACCAGACCTAAAGGGCCTTGTATGACTTTTGGGGAAACCCCCACGCACTTTTTTTTCTTTTAACTTTGGGGGGGAGGGGGTCCCCGATTGTTTAGGAGGGGAACCTTGCGTGTCTTTTTAATTTGTTTTGCTTTTGTTTACATTTTCTTTTATTCTGCTCGCTACCTCCGGGCTAGCGAGCATAATAACTGAGCCGAATGCTGCTCGGCATCTCTATGAGAATAAGGGTGAACAGTAGTGAATGAACTGACGAACGCTCGACTCAGCCGATCCAGATGTTGGATAAACTTAGACAAAAGTGTTCTTCGGCTGAGCCGAACTGTTTGGCTGAACCATGGTGAAGTGAAGGGAGCCGAAGGCAGCCAATGTACAGCTGTTTTCAGCTGTACAGGACTCAAGTGAATAGCCGAATGCCATTCAGTTCCCTTCACCTCGAGTTGGTTATTTACTCGGCTGGCTTTGGCAGCTTAGTAAATAACCCCCTCAGTGAAATGCTCACCTTGGATGTTAGACCATCACACAAGGTCTAATCATGCTGTTCCCCATTATGTTATATTAGCCAGATGGTGATCTACCCTCATAAGAATCCACTTATGGAAATTCCCGTATCTCTCTTTGTACGTACCCCAAGGATCCCCAAATAAAAAAAAGCATACAGACCATAGTTCTTTCTGTACTAATTAAAATAAAGCTTTTATTAAAAGCTACTTACATAAAAACACAGGACAGCCAATGTATTCACAAAGTAATATGGTAATGCAGACAGGAACACTGCTGGATCAGCCACAAGGAATACGCCGAGCTCCAGTCTCACCTCTTCCACACTATGTCACAAGTTTGTGATCCCCCATACCATTGGGATCCTTAGAGGACAAAGACGGATATGAGAGGGATATGAGAACTTCCATGAGTGCACTTTTATGAGGGTAGATCCCCACATGGCTAATATAGCATAAGGGGGAACAGCGCAATTAGACCTTGTGTGATGTCTAGCATCCAAGGTGAGCAGAATTTCATGTGTCCACGACGGTGGAGGAGCAAAGACTGAATCATGCATCTGAATTTTCCAATCATCATTTGGATGGTTTCACTCAGATGAACTCCCACAGACTTTGTTTTTTATTTCACGTTGTAATTGGGAATCTAATTGTTTATTGATTAACAATTGACTGTTTATTTGTAGTCAATTGTTTAAAGGTAATTCATAGTTACATAGTACATAGTTTGTTGAACATAAACTGTGGTGTTTATTGACACATACTGTACATGCTTTGTTTAATTTTGAAGTGGACACATTTTCATATTTGAATTTTCACTGATCACATATCATTAGCACACCATTTAAGGACAGCACGGCACTTATATTAGTGGGTAAAATAGATAGCAGCTGCTTAGCTGTACTTGAGTTGCTTGTGCTAAACAGTCAAAACTTTTTTCTTTATCGTTCAGTAAGGGAAAGGGGATCAGATGTAAATCAGAGATAATTGGGTTATACTGCTGCCTTTAGGGGAAATTGAACACCGGCAGGTATAACCTCTCCCACTTGCATCATTGTGTGTTTACTAGTGTCCTCGGAGGATGGATGTCTTTTCATGTACACTGTATGTGATCAGCTATTTGGAGCTGTCAAAAGCCGGTAACCACTGTGAATCAGCGGTTACAGTTCATTAATAGATGCCTCAGTATTGAGGCATCCATTAATGAAAGAATTAAGCTTTTACAGATGCCTGATCAGTGTCAGCGATCAAGTATCTGGCAGTGATAACAGAGTGGTGTGAACCACTTTGCTATCACAAGTTTGACAGCTCTGTACAGATCACGATCTGTTTTAACAGCTCTGTACAGATCGTGATCTGTTTTGACAGCTCTGTACAGAGCCTGTGTACTGGCTTTATTTTGCTACAAGTTTCTATGAAGCATGGACACTCGTAGCAAAATTTTGAAACATTGTATCAGACTTCTAATCGTTCTAGGAACGATCAGAAGTCTTTAGTGACATCTGACCCTTAAATGCTGCAGAATCAGCATGTCAGAAATCAGTGTCACTAAGGTTATTATTGGCTGTTCCTAGGTTTGGAGCAGCCTAATAACAATCAAAAATGTAAAAAAAATAATTAAATGATCAAGCAGTAATAGTGACTGTTTATAAGTAATTTTTCCGTGCCATCCGGATAAAACTACACCTAAAACTAAAAAAGTATAGAATGAATGAATATATCCTGCTGCCGTGCTAAACCACAGTGTGTTAATAATCTCAAAATGAATGCACCGCGCTGGAAATGTGTAACAGTTCAAAACAGTTGATAGCCATTTATAACAAATAATAATATAGCAACGTGTATCATATAATATAAAACGATTCTCCACAGTTCAGACTTCAATATAGAAGAAAGATGCACATAAAAAATAGTTCTTGCATGTATCCCGTGCCTAGAGTCATCAGAGGTCGTT